ATGTTGCTTTGTTATAGACAGCTTTTAGAAATGTTATTTGTGCCTGAAAAAAATATATTTTGTCTTGAATCTCTCCTGAAAATAAAATAGCTTAGGCACTCCTGTCCCCACAGCCTCATAGCTGGGTGACATCTCAGGTACCACTGCCTCTGAATGCTGGTCTCATGAGGTTTGGTGATATCACTATTATGTATCTTGCTTTTTATCTTGGTGGAGGTGCTGACATGAGGAAGCAAAGCCCTGTCTCTACCAAGATGACCACCTTCACACAGTGCAAAAAAAAATTTTTCTTTTAACACATTCCACCACCCTGTGCTCACATGCAAAGGCAAGCGCACGCGTTGGTCCCGTGTGTAAACAATGATCACACCACAAGTATTGCCACAAACGTCAGAGCGAAAGCAATAATTCGAGCACCAGACAATACCTTGTGACATAAAATATTGCAACACTCACCATTTTATTCTTTCTGGAAAGTCTATTCATTCATTCTGTGAGCACAGAGAAACACACATGTGAAGGAACAGCAAGGAGGGGGAGCACTCTAATTTGCAGACCTGCTCCTGGATACACGGAGGGACCCAGACCAGATCCTTTAATGTCCAAACCAGGGGGGACCCCTAAGTGGAGAGGATCATCAGCCTCATACACAGCTGAGGGAGGACCACCCAGTATCGGATGACATCTGGATCATTTATACACAAAGGCGCATATTTTATGCGGGTCTGGTGAGTGCGCATTGCTTTATCACTTTTCGTGCACGGATACCTGAACCAAGTCACCTGAATACCTAAGTCACACCTGCATACTTGAGCACCTAATCTCTGTCACCTAATTTGAGGAGGACTTTTTATTGATCGAACTGATTGAATACATGTCATTATCTATATATGTTTAGCGCTGCACTTTATTTTATGTTTAGTATGCTTTTTTTATCTTGGTGGAGGTGCTGACATGAGGAAGCAAAGCCCTGCCTCTACCAAGATGACCACCTTCACACAGTGCAAAAAAAAATTTTTCTTTTAACACATTCCACCACCCTGTGCTCACATGCAAAGGCAAGCGCACGCGTTGGTCCCGTGTGTAAACAATGATCACACCACAAGTATTGCCATAAACGTCAGAGCGAAAGCAATAATTCGAGCACCAGACAATACCTTGTGACATAAAATATTGCAACACTCACCATTTTATTCTTTCTGGAAAGTCTGTTCATTCCAAATCAAATATTAAAAGCAAACATTTTTATGTACTTTCAAATGACATTCATCAAGTCATCGAATGTACTGAGAATTTGCCGTCATTCGAAAATCTACTAGTGCATGGCTAACTTAAGTCTCTGGGGTTCTGCTGCTGTAAATACCTGCAGGCCAGGGGTGGACTGACCATTTGGAAACTCGGGCACTGCCCGAGGGCCCGGGGTCAGTGGGGGGCCCCATGAGATGCCCCTGGTACCTTTTTCATAGGCTTTTTTGAGTTTGGGCAAGGACACAGGGGCCCCATGATCCCCTGTTGCCTGGGGGCCCCATGAGTTGTAAGTCCGCCCCTGCTGCAGGCCATAGTTGTCTGATTATTGTAAGTATACATATGGGGGTGGGTAGTGTAGGTCAGGGGGACAGGGTAAGAAAACATTTACTACATTTGTACTTAAAAATAAAATTAAACCTATTTCTATGGGCTTTTGTTGTGTATTAAACACATATTAGCATGTGTTAAAGTGAAATTAAAGACTGCTATGATTTTGCACAGAGCAACCCTGATCCTCCTCTTCACAACTCCCCCCGCCAGCGCTCCTGGCCACTAACCTCTGCTGAGGGCCCCTATAGCAAACCGCTTGCTATGGGGGCACTCATGCATGCTTGCTTGCTCCTGAGCCCCGCCCCCCTTCCCTGCTCACTGGCTCTGATTGAAAGCAGTGACAGCCAGTGGCTCCAGCTGTTGTATCTGAGCCAATGTTTAGGGAGAAAGCCACTGCACCCGTGCACAGCGCTGGATTGAGATTGGGCTCAGGTAAGTATTGGAGGGGCTGGGGTGGGAGAAGCACGCTGTTGTAAAAACCTTCAGTCGTTTGTAAAAATGATTTTATTTATAATCTGCAGTTTAACTTTAACAGGTCAGTCCAACCAAAAGTGATATTTCAATTTTTAGAAGGGTTGTGAGAAGTTTAATTTTCTTTTTTTTTTTTTTTTCAGTCGAAGGTGATTCACACCTTCTTGACAATCAGCATATGAGTTCAACATTTCTCCTGGCTTTACATTGTATAGGAGGCGGAACCAAGGAATTTCAGAAGGAATATTGAAAACCCATTAGAGGAAATAAAAAAAAGAAAAGAAAAGACAACTCCCATAACCCTCTTATAAAATAAATTGAAGATAAAAAAAGAGCCCGGATAATTCACCTGTATAACATGAACTTAAAAACACAATCAGTTTTGGGCAAACTGACCCTTTTGTATGTTGGTTTTCATGCACACAGGGATTCAGAATGTTGCAGTTCCTCTCTCGAATGAGTTACATTGAGTGTGGTATTGTGTAATAACCTGATTTTCTTCCTGAGAGCAGATCTGCAGACGCCTGCTGCCAACCTCCTTCTCACACATGGGAAGCCACCAGAGACCGAGAGAGACCACTAACTGAACCCCAGCTTCCACCTGCCCTCACTTACTGGAAATGAATGACTGTGCCGTTTTTATTTTTAGGTTTGGCTGGCTGGCATGGGTAATCTCATTAAGGTGCTAACCAGAGACATAGACCACAATGCCGCACATTTTTTCTTGGATTTTGAAAGTAAGTCTCTCACAGGCCGTGGCCCAGCTGCTGTGTGTTTTCTGTAACCCATTCTCACCATCACAGCGAACGGCAGTAGGAACCGTCTGTTGACGGGATGACAAAGAGCCGTAGGATTGCTTATCATCGTGTCATAGAGAAGGGCATTCATGGCTGGCTACGTGTTGTCAGATTCCATGTCTTGTTTAGGGTCCTTTGTGATCAGCCACCTTTTTTTTTACAAATATTTATTAGTTATTCAGCTTGAATAAGAAGTTCTCCGTTGCCAGTGATGTTTGCACAGTGGTGCTGCTTCATGCAGAATCAGAAGCTACATTGGTAAAATGTATTCTTCATGTAAGACCTCTACACGTTACCTGTCCTATATATTATGCAAGACGCAATTGTCTGCACTAAATCCAACTTTAAGTGAATACTGCTCACTGATTCCTTTCAAACCTGTGACATCACCATAGCACAGGGCATTGATTGGGGAAATATTGTGAAAGTCTATAAAAATTAAAATCAAAAATGAAATCAACTGCCACAGATTTTGTTCCAGATTGGCATTGTAGAGGAAATGAGGCTGAAAAATTGCTGTGGCCTGTTCAGAGTTGCTCCCTGTCTGCCACTGAACACAGTTATGAGTAGCAGCGATAAAACCAGTATGCATTTCAGCGTGTAGCCTAGGTCATATCGGAAACGCGTAAGCCCTGCATCATATTGTTCACCTGGATTAATGTATTTACTGTGGAAGACTGAGCTGCCGGCTTTTCATCTCTTGTGTTTGCTAGACTGCTAGGAGGACACTCTAGGTCAGTGGTTCTCAACCTACCCCTTTGGGGGTCGAACGACCCTTTCACAGGGGTCCCCTAAGACCATCAGAAAACACATTTCCGATGTGTAAAGAGCAGCTACTGTGTAGAAAGCAACTACTCTGTTAAAAGCAGCTACTGTGTTGAAAGCAGCTACTGTGTTGAAAGCAGCAGTATTGGAGGTAAAACGACACTCATGAATTATAATTACTGGGTAAATAATTTTATGGTTGGGGGTCACCACAACATGAGGAACTGTATTAAAGGGTCACGGCATTAGGAAGGTTGAGAACCACTGATCTAGGTCCTTTCAGATCTCTCCGCTGATCCCCGCTGAGCAAGTGGGTGACAGGTCTGTGTCTGCTCTGCTGCTGCAGAGCGGACACAGGCACAACCCACTGTGTTCTATGGGGCAGTTGGATGGAAACAGGGCACCTGTCCGTTTCCACCCGACTGTCATCCGATCCGCCAGATAGTTTTTAGCGTACAGGATCGTATTGGATGCCGGCGGTTGTCAGTGGACACATGTCCACTGACACCTTCTGTTCCATAGAGAGCTATGGATGGTCTGATCGGGTCCCCCTGAAAAACTGACAGGTGGACCCGATCGAACCATCAGTGTGAAAGGGGCCTTAGCCAGTGCACCAACTGCTCACCACCTCAGGGAATTATATCAGGTGTCTGTTCACTCTACTCAGTTGCATCACTAGGTAAAGCTGTGTTGCCTGTGGCTAGGTTTGATCTGCTGACTAGACATAAAACAAGGATCCTACTTTTTTTTTTTTTTTTTATTTCAAATGTTTTTTATTGAAAGATTTTAACACAATACAAATATCAGTACGGATCACAATAGAATATATACATACTTAGATGAGGGAGTAAGAGATAAAACCCCACCAATTGGTCAGGGGTATATGAACAGATAGCCAGTGTTTCACCGTGTCATTTATCCAGTGTGAGCCGTTGGGTATAAGAGAAAACGTTCTATAAGTTGGAGCGGGGTAGGGAGGGGGGTTTTTTTTTTTTTTTTTGCTTATATGGGTTTGATGTAGGAGGTGGCTTCTGAAACCATCTTTGTCCTTGACCATAAAGAGAAAACTTAAATTCAGTGTGAGAATATCCATAAACCTTTGAGTCCTCTTACCAAGCTAAGCATTTGAAATACATTTTTAGCTATGTAGTTGAGTTCTGCGATGTTTTGCACGCACTGTACAGCATCACTGGCAAAAGGTTCACAAGAAAACTGGTGGAAATCTTGGTGGCAAGGTCTAACATCTATATGTTCCTCTGGTTCTGTGGCCACCGTGCTCCAAACTTTCAACATTCATACTTATTTTTTCCCTTCTGTATATAGGGTGTTCTTGTCTCATCCATGCTTTATCTTTTTTTTTCTCGTTCTTGTCTTAACAGGTGTCTTAACATGGGGAACCTACTTAAAGTTTTGACATGCACAGATCTTGAGCAAGGGCCAAATTTTTTCCTTGATTTTGAAAGTGAGAATATGATTTTATATATCTTTTTTTTTTCTCTCTGCCTGCCGTAGACTGCGTTTGCTTTTTGCACTCCCTGTCTGTCTGCATTGTGTCTGTCCTTTTAACCAGAACTTTGAAATCTTCCACTGTTGGAATCAGGTTTTCCCACTCCTCGGAGTGTAACTGCAGTCATAACTTTTCTTCGTTTTTGGATTGTATGGAAAGGGTTCCCATGGGGTACTGTCCTTGGAACAGGAATTAAGGTGGATCTTCCCAATGGGAACCCATCAACAAAAGCCTGGAATAGGTTCTAAACCTTTCCTACTCTACTGGCAAAAAAGGTGATTTATAGCGGTATGTGTCATCATTGGAGAGATTCTTCCTACATCGATGGGCACCATCACTAGGACAAGTAGTAGCAGAAACGAATTCCCTACAGGAGCCTGTATTTAAAAAAAGTATATAATTTTGTGCTGAGACCTGTGAAACCAATCACCAACTTTCTATATTTTGAGACAGCTCCGGTTGTCAATGTTTTGTTATGGAGTTTCTGAATCTGCTTCCCACCTAGTAGTTTGATAACTAAGCGAGGGTACGTCAGTGCTCTTAGAATTTTTTGTGATAAGTAAATAGAGAAAACCAATAGTTGCCTTGTAATAGATGCAGCAGGTGGTCAGAGCTTGGAACTTAGTCTTGTTATAGCCTGGAGTCTCCTCGAATTATGGGAAAACTGGTTGGGAATTAAGAGTTCAGCTTCTACCCATAACTGAAGCATTTGGTAACAGCCGATATAGAGTCATCTGTAGGTCACAGGTGAATCGGTCCTTTCTAGTGCCCACCCAGAACTGTAATGTCTTTTTTGAATTGATGAAACTCTTGGCTTCGGATAGATTTTCTTAGACTTATTACCATCAACAATCTCCAAGGGTAAATGTATATTGCATCTTCCTAATGGATTTCTGATCATAGTAGGAGTCAGCATGAAAGCTTTCATGCAGCCAGACCTGCCCACACAGTTCAGTTTATCTTTCATCCATATTTTGGGGCATATGATGTATTCCTATTTGTTTACATGCAGCTTTCAAGCAATTGTTACATAGCTTCTATTTTTTAAAAATAGTAAACACATTATACTCATCTGCTCTGTGCAATGGTTTTACACAGAGCAACGCTGATCCTCCTCTTCTTAGGTTCCCTGCTGGCGCTTTGGCTCCTTTCCTCCCCAGCAGTGCCCCCATAGAAAGCTGCTTGCAGTGGAGCACTGGTGCGTGCTTGCTCTCAAGCCCCGCTCTATGGGTCTATAAGACACCGCAGAACGTGGCTCAGCCATGCCCCCCGCTCTTTCCTCACAGGCTGCGAGTGACAGCAGTGGAAGCCAGTGGGGATGGCTTAGGGGGAAGCTGCGCACTGAAGGTATTTTTACCTTCATACATAGAATGCAAGAAACCCAGGATACAGAACATGGAAATACAATTATTTTAGTAAATATTAACTGCTAAATACCTTTTCCCATCAGCAGTTAGAGCAGTCTTGTGACTTCTGTCAGTGTTCAGCAGAGCAGTGGGTAAAATTTGTAGGAGGAATATTCTTTCTGCGCTAGAAGGATGCAGAGCCCCTGACCTCTGTCTGGACAGTGTTGACTGGCCCTGTGCTGATCACTCTCCCAAGGAAAAAAAAAAAAACCTCTCTAGCAATACACACCAAATTGAGCATGTGCTTAGTGTCTTCACACAATATGTCTTGGTAGGAGATAAGAGGGGGACACTGGAAGAAGGGGAGGATTAGAGAAGTCAGGATCAGACAGCATTATTACACAATGCAGAGGATTAACCCCTTAGGTTCCACAGTGAGTATAACAAGCATGCTTTACTGCATATACAGACTGATTTTACTGTTGTGGGTTTAGTGACACATTAAGAAAACATTCAGCCTTTAGAACCACTTTAATGCCTCATTCACACTGTGTTTTCTTAGCTCCCTCGAACACCTTTTCTCCTGGCAGGAGAAAAGCTGCTTAAATAATGCTTCCAAGGCCTCGATTTGCACACGCATTTAGGCACGATGGGCTTTTGAGCATTTATGTATTTCATTGGCCAGAATAATAATTTATTCTGCCCATTGGAATGAATGCTCAAACGATAAACGCGTCTAGTGCTTAGGTGCGTTTGCATCCATTTAGTCACATCCAGCATTTTTTCTGTCCAAAAGCCTTTCTAAAGAGTGCTTTGGTGGTGATTTTTTTTTTTATTCCAGTTTCTAAATGCATCTCTTCTAATATGCCTGTAAACTTCTACAGGCTAAAAAAAAAATCCCTAAAACAGAAGTATGGCCAAGTATTTTTTAGTCATACTTCTCTTCTGGGTCACAGGAGGGCACTTATTTATGCTCTGCTTTGATCCAGAATCAGCTCATAGTGGGCTAAAGCAGGGCTTGAAATTTCCGCTCACCAATGATGAGTGGAAATTATGGTGGGGGCGAGTGTCCCCCCCAGGGCCGTCTTGCTGAGCAGGCTCGGAGCTCAGACCGAATCTGTCATTGGCACTGGGAGCCGTCAGACTGCTCAATAGCTGAGCGCAGTGAAAGCAAAGGAAGGAGTGTGTGCTGTGCTCTCTGCCTCCCCCTAGAGTGCAGTACCCGGCTCTGTGAGTGAACAACAAGGTACTGCAGCTTTTTATGGGGGGGGGGAGGAGTTATTTGTGTGTGTGTCAGTGTATGCATGTACATGTGTCTGCGTGTATGTACATATATGTGTGTGTACATGTGTCTGTGTGTGTGCATGTACATCTATGTATTTGTGTGTATGTACTTACATGTGTCTGTGTGTACATGTCTGTGTATGTATGTACATGTCTGTGTATGTATGTACATGTGTCTGTGTGTATCTGTACATGTGTCTGTGTATTTCTGTGTATGTACATGTATCTGTGTGTATGCGTGTCTGTACCTGCCTGTGTGTGTATACTTGTGTCTGTATGTGTGTGTGTGTGTGTGTGTATACATGTGTCTCTGTGCATGTGTGTACATGTTTCTGTGTGTATGTACGTGTTTCTGTGTGTATGTGTGTGTATGTACATGTGTGTGTGTGTTGTACAGGTGTCTCTGTTTGTGTGTGTGTATGTACATGTCTGTTTGTGTGTACAGGTGTCTCTGTTTGTGTGTATGTGTGTGTGTGTGTATGTGTATGTACATGTCTGTGTGTGTGTACAGGTGTCTCTGTTTGTGTGTGTGTGTATGTACATGTCTGTGTGTGTGTGTACAGGTATCTCTGTGTACGTGTGTATGTACATGTCTGTGTGTGTGTACAGGTGTCTCTGTTTGTGTGTGTGTGTGTGTGTGTGTGTATGTACATGTCTGTGTGTGTGTACAGGTGTCTCTGTGTGTGTGTGTGTGTGTGTGTGTGTGTGTGTATGTACATGTCTGTGTGTGTGTACAGGTGTCTCTCTGTGTGTGTGTGTGTGTGTGTGTGTGTGTGTGTGTGTATGTACATGTCTGTGTGTGTGTGTACAGGTGTGTCTCTGTGTGTGTGTGTGTGTGTGTGTGTGTGTGTGTGTGTGTACGTACATGTCTGTGTGTGTGTACAGGTGTCTCTGTTTGTGTGTGTGTGTGTGTATGTACATGTCTGTGTGTGTGTACAGGTGTCTCTCTGTGTGTGTGTGTGTGTGTACATGTCTGTGTGTGTGTACAGGTGTCTCTCTGTTGTGTGTGTGTGTGTATGTACATGTCTGTGTGTGTGTGTACAGGTGTCTTTCTTGTGTGTGTGTGTGTGTGTGTGTGTATGTGTGTGTGTGTGTATGTACAGTGTGTACTGTGTCTGTGTGTGTGTGTGTGTGTGTGTGTGTGTGTGTGTATGTACATGTCTGTGTGTGTGTACAGGTGTCTCTGTGTGTGTTTGTGTGTGTGTGTGTGTATGTACATGTCTGTGTGTGTGTGTACAGGTGTCTCTGTTTGTGTGTACGTGTTGGTGGCGAGTAACTCTTAAGGCCTGGCTAGTAGCTCAGGACTTGAAATTTTAAGCCCTGTGCTAAAGCTTATGTTGGGATCCACTCAGGTGTCTGATCAGCAGCTGGCTCAGACTTCTTCAACCACTCCTGCCCCCTCCCCAGCCCGATGCTCCAGTGAGTGCTGGAGGGGGAGAAAAGAGAGCCGGTGACTGACAGTTATTGCAATCTGCTCCAGGAAGACTAAGAATTGATTGATCAGCGGTCATGTGATCTTTTAGTTCTTGAGGGCAGCTGCTTGCAAATGAGTACATCTTTGTTTTTTATGCATTCGCACACTTCACCTTTTAAAGCAATTCTAAAGGTTAATTTTTTTTTAAAATAACAAACCTGTTTATACTTACCTGCTGTGTGCGGTGGTTTTGCACAGAGCAGCCCGGATCCTCCTCTTCTCGGGTTTCCTGTAGGCTCTCCTGGCTCCTCCTGTCTGTTGAGTACCCCCACAGCAAGCAGCTTGCTATGGGGGCACCTGCTGCTCCATATGTCCATTCACACATGGAGTCACGGCTTTCCCCCCCCCCATCCTCCCCTCTCTCCTTATTGGCTGACTGGCTGTGATTGACAGCAGCGTGAACAAACGGCTCGCATTTGCTTTCTCAGCCAATGAAGAGGCCCAGGACAGCCGAGGCTGTCATTCACATCGCTGGATCGCGATGAGGCTCAGATCTCCCTGATTCTGTCTCCTTTCTTAGTGGCAGCACTATGTGACCAAGCTCTAAATTTCTGTCAACCTTCCCCTATAGTTGAGCCAAGACATAAAATCAAGGCTGGAAATGCACATATTTTAATTTCAGAAAGTGACATACAGTTTTTTGAGACCAAAGAGGGGGGTGGGGGAGGAGTTCTCAGTGACTGGAAGTGACTGCTCTGGGCTTCAACAAAATGGTGGCCTCCAGCAGGAAGAAACAGGAACTCCGCTGGAAGCAATTTACAGCAATGGAATGTATGTTCTTTTGTTAGATACCAACCCCTTGCAGTATGTAGTTCTTGCTACAGATAGGAATACCCAAGTCATTTAAATTT